CATTTTCTTGCAGGACCCAATGAATGTCGCGAAAAGTAACCTATCTTCTGCACCGTGGCCCAATTGGTAGGGGAAAAAAATTCAGCCTCTTCGGTTCACACACAAAGGAGTCTATAAGCCACAAACATCCTTACAAACAAAGGTACAGTGTTTGAGTTTTATGTTAGGTTGAACCGAAAGTTCGTTCGCACCATTTTCAAAAAATCATAACTTCTTTCTGTTTCAATAATTTCAGGCAATTCAAATTTTATTAGAAAGCGTAAAGCATGTAGTTTCCAATAGTTCCCTGGTGACTTTGCAAAGTGCTCACGTTGCAGAGACAAAAATGAAAGAACGAAAACATCCGAAATTCGGAATTTTTGAGCAAAAATTCTAAAAATCTGGAAACTGTGCGATAAAATCCAGAAAAGCCATTATCCTAATTTTTCTTATATATGATTACTAATTGAGTTAACTTTGTGCTGATCGAGCTCTTCTTTCAAAAGTTATGATTTTTTGGAAAAAAAATGCCGAAAAATCAATTTCTTAGGAATTCTTAGGGAAGTGATTTTTCGGAATTTATTTTCAAAGAATCATAACTTTTGAAAGAAGAGCTTGATCAGCACAAATTTAACTCATTTAGTAATCAAATATAAGAATAATTATGATAATGGCTGCTCTGGATTTATCGCACACTTTCTAGATTTTTAGAATTATTGCTTAAAAATTCCGAATTTCGGATGATCTCGTTCTTTTATTTTTATCTCTACAACCTGAGCATTTTGAAAAGTCCCCAGAGGACGTTTGGAAACCAAATGCTTTACGCTTTCTAATAAAATTTGAATTGCGCAAAATCGTCGCCACGGAAAGAAGTTATGATTTTTTGAGAATGGTGCGAACGAACTTTCGGTTCAACCTAATATATACATAGATATTCATTTCCTTACTATTCTGCAGTAGCGTTCGATAAAAGTGTAGACTGATTGTTCTCTAAAATTTGAGGGCTATTTTGAAAACTCCCGAGTACATTCCGGTATTGTGTTGTAAAACTGAATCATGCTATTCTTCAAGTCCGAAATATTGCAGTATTGTTGAATTGCGTCAATAGACTCAAAGATAAGCCGCTGACGGAGACGTGGGTCGAGGGTATTTGTTTCCGTGTCGACATAGTTTGGACATCCTCTGTTCAGAAAGTTAGCGTTTTCGGGTACATATTCAGCGAAAGCATTCTCGAAATCTCCATTGAAGTCGATCACATCCAAAATTACGTGCCTATCAAGAGCTACTAGGTCATTGTGATTTAGCTCGTGGGACTTGCTTGCCAGGTAAAGGGGTAAAAGCTTCTTTTATATCACTGTAAAATGTTTTGATGCTTAAAGGCAGCATCTCTGGCAAATTCTTTATACTGTCTGCTCAAGCCGCAGTGTCGTAGCTCAAGTGCGCTACTTTCTGGTGCATCCTCAAGATTGAAGTTCAAATCGGACTCATCCACTACACTCGCTATGGTCCCGAAGGACACGTCGTCGAGATCTCGGAATCGGTGATAGTCCAGCAGTTCGTCACGTTCTTCTTCATGAGGCTCTGAGGGGAGTAGTCCAGGAATGCGCGAGGATTGTACGATCAAATTTGTTTATTGGTTGTATCGTAGTAGTTATCGAGTACACTCAAATCGAGTCGAACAGGCTGATCATTTTCAACGTCCGTAATCGTTCTTTGTTCAAGTAGGCTCCTCCTGTTTTTTTGCAACAGGGTTTCCCTCTCTCCATTTCTGTAAATTGTCAATAAGCAGCCCTTCTTCGCGTTGCATACTTTGAGACAGAATGGATAGCTCATGCATCGTGGTGTTAAGATGGTGCAAGGCTATGTAAGTTCTCGCATCTGAAAGTATCGTATGTGCCAGTCTCGCTCTAATTATGAGTGTGTTTGTCAGGCGTCCGTTGTTTCGGATGTCAACGGGAGCTTGAAGGATTACTGGATAAACGCGAAGTACATTAGAAATGGAATTAGCGAAGCTGGCTGACCATCTTCCTGTAAAGAGGGCACTCATCTGTAGATCTAGAAAGCACCTTTTTTGTGCAGCTTTTTTATAAATGCTCTTGCTAGTTGTTCTGACAGTCGATCCAAATAAATGGTACAGCTCCATAACAACGCTTTGAGCCAGCTTGAATAGTATTCCTTTTTGTACCTTCACTGCTAAACTCAATTTATGCGCCATACATACTGAAATCATCAGCGTTTGTCTTGGATGAAGATCTGCAGATGTTTCACGGGCAACCAGCTCTTTCAAGTTTGCAAAAGCACCAGAAATTTGGCCACTCATTACAGCTGCACCATCGGAGGACATTGCCAGCATGTTCCGCATTGCATGATTTCTGAAGGTGTTAGAGAGGAGGATTATCCGCCCAAGGCTCTGTTTTGTCAAAATTCTGCAGAAGTGCCTTCACAATGTGCGACGCAGATTCACTCTCTACTTCTGTCAGGTAAAAGTGGAAGGTTATGGGGCGATGTTGCGGTGAAAGAGTTTTGATAAGAAACACTATCCATTTCACTCCTCTACTTGAGGAGGACCCATTAGAAGTATAGTAAATGGCAGGTTGCGGTCGACAACATGTTTTACAAGGTCGTACTTCATACGAATAGCAAACGCAGTAATCATTCTTCGCACGGTCGTAGGATCGTGATGAACTTTCACATCTACCGATCCAGACCTAATTGACATCACCAGCAGCGGAAATTGTTTCGAAAAAGGAAGCCCTTCTTTTGCTATTACATAGGCAGCAAATGTTGATGTAACCGTTGCAGAAATGTCATCCGGTGCGGTGCTTCGCGCAATGGCCTCTGCTTCTTTGTGGTACTCTTCCAGATGACGTTTATGCTTTGCCGTGTTTTCATGAGTATTTATTCGCTCTAAGAGGCGACCGAGCAGTCTACGCGGTCTTCCTTCACTTTGTGTAAGATAAGCTAATCTTTTCACACAAAGTATTAGGTCATTCCGAAAGCAATTTCGCTTTTTTCAAACGGACGCCATGTGATGGAACAAAAATTTCTAACAAGGAAACGATCCCAACTTAAGGTGGCGAATTGGAATGAACCGTATACCATTAGATGCGCCTTGATGAGCTGATTCCAAATCTATCTTCCATATCTGCGACAACGTTATTTGCAAAAAGTTATGAGCGGTTGAAAATGTGAAGTTATTGGGATTTTAATGCATAACGTGCTTCAAAATCCAACTTGAAATTGCACGACTAGCATGATATTGAGTGTACTGATTTCGCGGAATGCTCACATTTAAAAGAAACACAAATAAGTGTTTTTGAGCAGCTAAAAAGCAACTAAAGTTCTCTGGTAAAAGCTATGAGCAATAAAAAATCCAAATTTGGCAAATATACGGCGCCATTTCTCGAAAATTAGTTGTTCAAAAATACTTATTTGTGTTTCTTTAGAATGTGAGCGTTCCGTGAAATCAGTACACTCAATATCATGCTAGTCGTGCACTTTCAAGTTGGATTTTGAAGCACATTATGCATCGAAACCCCAATAACTTCACATTTTCAACCGCTCATAACTTTTTGCAAATAACGTTGTCGCAGATTTGGAAGGTAGATTTCCAATCAGCTCATCAAGACGCATCTAATGGTATGCGGTTCATTCCAATTCGCCACCTTAAGTTGGGATCGTTCCCTTGTAAGAGATCTTGGTAGCATTCGATGCAGAATTTCATCCTCTTTCTAAAGGTTGTAAAATTATTGCAGCATAGTCAATGAGCTTTTGGAAAATTACGAAAGTCTCTGCGATCCATGCTTTTTGAGATGCTCAAGTTTCACAATTTTTCTAAATGTGTACATCAATCCTCCAAAGGAGTCCAAGTAATGATTCGATAGAACAAACCCTACAGGGTACAAAAAGATTTTTTTCTCTATCACATAACTCCTCAAAATTTGTTAATAGAATTTTGACTGATACTACCAATTTCCATTCTTGGTCAACTCAAACATCGTAGAACATCAAACGCTTAGCAACTCAAGTGTCATTCGATGCAGCTTGATCTCCTCTTTCTAATGGATGTCTTTTGTTTCCCTTTCGTGAGGTTTTCGCGTACAAAATCATCATAATTCATTTTCTCGAATGCGTTCTGGGGGCTGTACCCGGAAAATTCGAAATTAGATATTTCGATTCCGTAAGCCCTCATTCGCTTTGCAAAATTGGTGTTAAATCATAACACCATCTTGAAAGTTTCAAATTCCGAAGATTTATTGGTGTTTGATGCGAATGTGGCTGACGTTGGCCTGTCGAAATTCGATGGTTTCAATAACGAATCTTTTAAGAAATTATGGCGAGATATAAAAACGAGAAAGAAGTCAAGTATCCTATGAGGTTTGCTCTATCGAATCGTTACTTGAGCTTCTTCGGAGGGTTAATGTAAAAATTTAGAAAAATTGGGACTTGAGCATCTCAGAAAGCATGGATCGCAGACTTTCGTAATTTTTCAAAAGCTCATTGATAGTGCTGCAATAATTTTATAATGCTCAGAAAGAGGAAGAAATTCTGCATCGAATGCTACCAAGTTCTCTTAGAAATCTTTGTTCCATCACATATGACGTCCGTTTGAAAGAAGCGAAATTACTTTCGGAATGACCTAATATATTGTTTTCCCCTAGTAAATTTGAACCTGTTGGAAATCCGCTGTCGGATTCGCACTTTCGAAACCCTTCCTTTACGTCAAATGGTTGGGTAGCTTTTCTGTTGCAAAGAGCACATCTCATGAAGTCACCTTCAGGATCGTTTTCGTCTCTGTAATAGCGCAAATAAGTCTTATTGCGTAGGTCTTCGATTTGTTGGGAGTTCAGTCTTTCTTCATTAACTACGAGAAGCTTCAGATCTTCCACGAACTTTGCACTTTCTAGCGCGTCTCGATGAAGGCCAAATCGACGGTGAGGTTTTCGTTTTGCAGTAGTCGCTCTATATTTTGTAACTCACCCCTTTCCCTCATTTCCTCTCTTATGTTGGCGAGTATGCTACTAGCTTTTTGCGATTCTATCGTCAGCTTTCTGCTGTTCGCCAAACTGTTTTTGACGGTGCGCGATATCTTGAACAATCTCTAAAAGCTTGGCAACTCTGTTCTCCAACCTTGTATGACGTTCATCAAGTGGACTGATGTAAGCGCTAGAATCTTGCACTTCTTCGGCCGACGGAATGCTGAAATATATATCCAGAGCGTCATTTAGTGGTGACTGGGTGCTTTCGGAAGGAGGCGGTGCAGGACTGGTCTGTAGTAGAGAGACGCTAGAAACCTCCAGTCTATCACCTTCTTGCTCCTCAATTTGTCGATCCGGGAAATGGTTCTATCATCTTCAATTCGAAGCCACTGTTGCAAAGAAACTTTTCTGTCATCATCGCAACTGTTGTCTTGATCCGGAGTCGCATCCGTGACGACCCATTGATGACCACATAGAGAGAGAGACTTCCCTGAGGAAAGCGCCCCAGATGGGAGGATTTGGTAGGCCATCTCTTTTATATGCTGTGGCTACATTTCATCAAGGTAATCCATTAATATCACTTTGCTGACATCATCTGAAGGGCTGAAAACAACAATATTTACGACCTTTGAAGACAATCATTTTTGTTTTTCAAGCGTAACAATCAGTCTATCACCCTTAAGCTGGTGATTTCCTGTGTCTGTAGTTTCTACATAGCTGAATGTTGTCGCAAAGTAGTCCTTAGCGTCGTTTCCTTCGAGCTGTAGAAGTAGGAAAACAGTCTGGCCATCACGGTAGTAGTTTTCGCTGTGAAAACGCGGCGCTGGAGACGATACTTCCTGGGCAAAAAATTGCAAAAGACTTTGCTTTTTGTCTGACATCGTATACTTGATTGCTAGTTCACGAATCTTGTGCATGTTGGTAGCCCCTTCCTTGCATTGAAGAAATTGAAATTAATTCGTTTCTGTCCTCGAGGAAAACTGCTCACTGGTACGGTATCATGTCCCGCACCGCTTCCAACAGTGAAAAAGGCTTGATACTCCTTGGACTTTGGCCATTTCTGGTTGTTGAAGTCCACAAAAGTTGTAGTGTGGAAATTGTGTTCGTGTCCCATCTGCAATTAAACTCATAATTTATGCCATATGCATTCAGAAAAACCCACCAAAGATGATTTCGTATTCACAATCAGTATTCCATAATTATTTAACTTCAGTGATTTCAATGATTCCTCATCATTGTAGCAGTCGGTGGTGACAGTCAATTCGATGAATTGCACTTCTGCGTTGTTCGAAAATTGCCGACATGACATCTCATTGAAGAAAGGATAACATGGGTTTTCGTCGCATGAAATTGTGGCTATGCAGAGAAGAAGGAATAACGTCCACATTGGAAAACACTGCAATATATAATACTTTCATAAACACTTGAATAAGGCAAGCTATATTGGCAATCTATCTATACGTATATAAAAGTCAAAGTTTGTCTGTAACTCGGATGTGTGTGTGTTTTTATAGAGATCTTTCTGAGTGGACCGATCGAGCTGAAATTTGCTCCCATACAAATAAGACACGACGCAAAACATAGGTTATTTTCCGTAGGCAAAGAGCACTGACAACAAGATATACAATGAGTAGGTTCCGTATGCCTTTCAAAATGATGCATGCGATTATGTTGAACAAACGTAAGATTGCCCAAGTTTATGACGCCGCATTTAAAATTGTCAAGTTTGCTTCAGTGCAAATGTTGCATCATTTGTTTGGGGGTGTTTTCATGAGCAAATTATGGCAATGGAGCCAAGAGTGTGTTTCTAACACATGTATGGAGAACAACTGATTAGGTCTTCAAAAAAGCAGTGATCTCAATTGTGACTCGAGAAAATGCAGAAGAAATCCGAAGAGCAGATAAGTTGAGTCTTTGAACTTGAGCGACTGTTCTGCTCTTTGTTGAGCCAGCCACGGTGCGGAGGATCGTGCGCGATCGCACGCGCAAAAGGCTGGCATAGCTGTCGTGGGTATTTGTTTACGCGTATATTTTACCGCATTTCAGCTTCAGTGATATGCGATAAAATTTGTGGATAGGTTCACAACTGCAAACACACTATATTTAGCGAAAAATCTGCTCGACTGTAACTTTTCGTATCGTCATGTTTGGATCATGATATCGTATCCTAATTCAAGTCTAAACAATGGTAACCTTGTCTCGAGACTTTTTTGCAGTTGTGAACCTATTCACCAATTTCCGGAAGATGCTGGGTTCATTGCTGCATCGATTTCTGCTTAGGTTTCACAAAGAGATCGCGATATTGTCATTGAAAGATTGAAGCAGAACAAGGTGAAAGTTCTTGTTTCGACAAATTTGGTAAGCACGTAGTGATGGAGTCAGTTCAGTAACTTATCTGCTCTTAAACGACGCGTGGAATAAATGTAAATCTTGTTGTCAGCCTCGAAACGGCAATTAGTACAGAGACTTAATTTCATAGAATCGGAAGAGCTGCACGATATGGTGCGATTTTGATGTGCGTACTTTGCCACTGTCGAATCAAACGAGAATTTATTCACTTTACAGGAAGGTACGGTGCAGCAGTGACCTTACTCGCCAATCACCGTGAGTTTACCCGCTTCAAAGCAATGGTGGTGAAAGCTGGAATCAGCGTCCGCTCGATGAGTGTAGCGAAGACTCCTCCCGATTTGACAACGAATCAGTCGTCCTTTGAACTATGTCGTTAATAAATAAACAGTTTATTCTCCTGGTGTTGCTCTCGTATACTGGTCATCTCCTAGCTCATTATCGCTAACTTTCCTCTGTCATCCTCCGTTGCATTCCAAATCATCTTCACTTTCAAATCTCGAATCTACGGGCTTGCTACTATTTTACAAAGCAAGTTTTTCATGGAGTCGTATATTTTATGGAATTAATAGCGTACTTTAGATGATCGATACTAAAGAGCATGGATTATCTCTTACAACAAAGTGAGCCTCCTGGAGATGATTATTCTCCTTCTAATCTTGTTAATGGTAAGCTTTTTACCCACTTTCATTTATAACTAAGGGTCGCATGCACTAACATCATCCCCGCGGGGAAGGGATCGCAGCTTAAAAGAAAGCTTTATATTTTGAAACTTCTATTCCTACTACCTTTACTTTGAACATGTTGAAGAGGAGCAAGAAGCTGCACGAACCGCATTTTCCAGTTTTTGTAAGATCCCTGATGATCGCTGGGCGCTTTTCTTTAAAGTCATTTTTCTTTCTCCGAAGTTAACGAAAAACCTCCAAAGTTGTGCAGATTATCTAAGAGTGCTAAGCATGTTGCTGAAAAGAACAAATGATGTTTTGAAGTCATGAAATTTTCGATGATCCACATGTCAAATTTGAGGTTTACCGAAAAATTCGACTTTTGAAAAACTCATTTGTTCCCATCAGCAACATGCTTAGCACGGTTATGTTAGATGTTCAGTACAACTTTGGAAGGTTTTCGTTAACTTTGGAGAAAGAAAAATGACTTCAAAGAAAAGCGCCGGGAAAGGAAAGGGGCGGGGTTATCAGGGATCATACAAAAGCTGAAAAATGCGGTTCGTACAACTTCTCGCTCCTCTTCAACATGTTCATAGTGAAGGGTGGTAGGAATACTTACGGATAGGTACACAACGTGAAATCCAGGGCCCGTAGTAAACCCCTCGTGGTTGTCACAACATAGAAGGACTATGTCGTGATAGCTCGGAGCATCTCGCAAGACTATAGCGAGCTATCAGCAGGGCGCCGCAAAACGAGCGCCTCCGCGCGTCATCGAACCGCTGATGACCGTGACAACAGCGCTCACTCGCGCTGCGCTATGAGTGCCGATATGCCGTGGAGTATTTGCTTAGCAAGGCAAGAATGCAGTGTGCTATTGTTACCAAAGCAGGTAAATCAATCAGAGGAAATCCAATAACTGACCATCCTCGCGTGAGCGCGCGTGTTTCTCCATTTTTAATTCGTTACCTTATGTTTGCATGCATTAATAGGGTAGCGCAGCTGAACTATGTGTCTTGCAGAATTATGCTTCTTGCGCACCGTGCTGTGAGAAGGAGCGCCAATATCCGCTACGACAGGACCATATTTGACTCTTCTCAATGAAATTTGGGCGTGCCAGCCACGTGTCAGATTCGTGCCAGCTTCGTGCCAAGGCACTGATAGTCTAACAGCGCACACGTTCGCTGCGCTGTATACTACTACGCCATGCTTTGCTAGGGAAAGGAACGTAGCAAATAGAGCAGTTGCAGCAAATCAGTATGGGAAAACGATATGCACGCCTGCTTATTATATACACGCGTGCTTATTAAGTATTGTTGAAGGGTTAGTTACTATTTTTGCAATTATTGTGAAACAGTGTATATAAGGAGCCTCAACATAGCATACATACGTTGGGGGTGAAAGTTCCATGCTACACTGTCTTTTGCATTTTGCTGGCAAACTGAATTTTGCAACGGAACGTGAATCAGAATTTCCTTTTAAAAAAGAGAAAGTGGAATTTGAGACGTACAATACATATGGAAAATGCGCAAGAAAAATCAAAATAGTATCATCAGCATTCAGTCCGTTCAAAAATGGGCTATTCCATCAGCCATAACGCCAGACGGTCCTTTCTCATTAAAACGAAAGGAAACGAGGGGTGCATGGCTAACGAACAGCAAGTCAGCAAGGATATGTGGTCGAAACTACCCCAAGATTGAAGAAAAGATCAAGAATTTGCAAAATTTCGGCACGAAGAAGGGATTCCTTGCTCAAACAAGGTGCATTGCCAAATAAAAGAAGAAAAACTGTATAGGTACGAAAAATATGACTAAGTATGAGTCTAATATATTTTTTAGTCAAAACAAACTCACCATTTTCAAATTCCAAAGCGGCAGCAGCAGAAGTACCTAGAGAATAGGGTGAGGCGCATTGCTCGGACTGTTAGGCGGCTATCAGCTGTTGATATTGATTGCAGTTGACGTGCACTACAGAGAACTGTGTGCATGTGCGACCTATTGCGAGGTTGGCGTAGTCGAGCTCTAGTCTTGCGCTATGTCTCTGCGTCTCCATGATATACAAAGTATTTCGCCGTCTCGTCCGTCACGACATGTCGCAATATGTCGCTATATGTCGCGATATGTCGCGACATATAGCGACAAAGTGGGACTACCCTGGCGCTTCGCATTGATTGCATCCGCCGGCAATGATGAAGGATAGCCGCCTTGCCTGCCTCGCTCCATGGTAGTCAGCACATGTCACAGCAGACTCCGAGCTATACGTCAGCACATACGGGGGGTTTACTACAGGCCCAGGTGTCTGGAGTTTCGAAATATAAAGCTTTCTTTTGAGCTGCGATCCCAGCGGGGAGGTGCATGCGGCCCTAACTCAATATTTTCAGTTCTTCCATAGTTATCTGGCCGCGAAAGTGATCATCAAGAAAAGATCTAGCGGCGAGGGAGGGGGGGGGGCCTCCTCCCTTTCTACGACAGACAAATGTTGAGTTACCAATCGCCGTCGCCCCCGCACTCAGAGCCTTACGATCCAGTATTTTTTGGAATGTAAAAAATTTATTTGATTTTTGTTTTAGAAATAAATGTGAATGTGTTGTGATACATGAATTTAGAGACCCGTCATACTTGGCCGAAAAAAACCCAAAAGCTCTCAAAAAAGCCTGAAAAAGCCTAAAAAAGCCCGAAAGAGCCGGAACGCAGAAACGAGCTTTGGTCGAATTCTGACGTTATTTTAATGTGCAGACATCAGAAAATGAAGCAAAAAAACTCGGCTGCGAAATCAGCATTATGCGTTAGCACCCAAACGAAAGGGGGCGTTCCGGTTCGTTTTTCTTTCTTTTTCTTTCGTTTTTCTCTCTTTTTTCGTTTTCGGGTTCCTTCACATACTACGCCGCAGGACGCGGCGTGCTGGCAGTGCTATTTCCGCTGCAGTCGTAGCGAAAAAATACGCGCAGGGCAGCACAGCTTCGCCGTAATAGATGTATTCTATATTTGCTGCACGTTCGTGTTCACGAAGATTGTTCCTTCACAGCGAGCAATCTATTTTCACCGCGACTGCAGCGGCGCACGCCACAGGACGCCGCGTTCTGTGGCGTATTATGGAGGAACCCTTACTCCTAGACGGAAAAGCATCAAAGTCTATCTCTCCTGATGCTCATCAGTAGGGAAGAAGTGGTAGCATAGTTGTAGTCTTAAAGGCAGTGGATCGGCAAAACTCAACAACTCAGAATTTTAACGCGATAGGTTCCTTATCGCCCAAGTATGAAAGTGCAATCCTGGTTGCACAGCATGCCTTCCCTGCCGAGAAA